CATGACTTCAGTGACCCCCATGACCTCAGTGACCCCCATGACCTCAGTGACCTCAGTGACAGCAGACAGGTGTCTCCTCTGTTCGGTGAGTGAAACTTTAATCCATATTTACAGAATGGTTCTGTTTTATCTGCTGACTTGTTCTGAACCAGAATCAGATACAGTCCTGGGTCTCCTGGGTCTCCTGGGTCTCCTGGGTGTCCTGGGTCAGAGGTCAGTCTGATCTTCCTGCAGTTCCTCTATAAACCACAAGAGGCTGCTGTTGTCAAAGAGTCCAGAAACAATCAGATCTTACAGCAAACACTGAAGTAAAAACAAAAAATTCATTTTCTTTCAGTTTACCTGCTTTAAACAAATTCTGGGGTAAATATTTACAGCTGAGACATTCTGACTAAATCCTGATCTTCTGTCAGAGTCTCAGAGGACTTTTACCAGCGGTCCTCCTGCTGCGGGGACGTGGACACAGCAGCTGTCTCCTCACCTGCAGAGGAACAGACAGGTAAGATCTGCTGCAACCCTGCTGGCAGGAGCTGGAGCAGTCCTAACGTGTGTGTGTGTGTGTGTGTGTGTGTGTGTGTGTGTGTGTGTGTGTGTGTGTGTGTGTGTCTTCCAGCTGCAGGATGCTCTGCAGCAGAGAGAGGAGCAGCTGGCCCGGTTGCAGGAGGAGAACAAGAAGCTCCGACAGTTCCTCAGCTCCTCCTCCCTGAGGAACCTGCAGCTGAAGGCTCAGGTGTGTGCACCATCAGAACCAGACCGTCAGGTCCAGAACCGGACCGTCAGGTCCAGAACCGGACCGTCAGGTCCAGAACCGGGCTCTCTCTGCACATTTCAGAATTCTGCTACAAGTCGTTTAAACCCAGTAAAAGTTTCAAACTTTAGTTTTCAGTCAGAAACAATCAGGTAAAAACAATCTGTGTAAAAGTGAAAAGAAGAGAAAATGTTTGAGTTTTTTCACCTGAAAATATTTGTTTTTCTAAAGTGTAAAAATCAAACATCTGAGCAGCTGAATGAGTTTAACCTGCTGCTGGAAAACAGTTCAAATATCACAAAGTCTGCAGAAGAGATTTAATCAAACAGGAARATACAAACCATCCATCACCAGATGTACAGAGTCTGTAAAACTAGAAGCTGCACCGATCAGTCCATCAATCTCATGCTCCATTCTTCACTCACTCCTGAAAAAACCCTGAGATACTTGAACTCCTTCACTTGAGGCAGAACTTCACCCCAAACCCACAGAGAGCAATCCACTCTTTCCTACTGAGGACCATGGACTCAGATTTGGAGGTGCTGATCCTCATCCCAGCTGTGAACTGGTCCAGTGAGAGCTGGAGATCACGGTATGATGAGGTCAACAGAACCACATCATCTACAAACAGCAGAGATGGAATCCTGTGCCCACCAAATCAGACTCCCTCCACCCCCTGGAAGTGCTGAGAAGTTTGGTCCATGTAAGTTATGAACAGAATGTGTGACCATGTATGCTCAGGTGGAGTCCAACTCCCCCTCTGAAGGGGTCCGACTTACTGCCAGCAATGAACCAAACTCTCACACCGCTTGTATAGAGACTGAATGGCCTGTAACAACGGACCCACAATCCCATTCTCACAGAGCACCCCCACAGTGTACCTCAGGGAACATGGTTGAATGCCTTCTCCAAGTCCACAAAACACATGTAGACTGGATTATCAAACTCCCATGACCCCTCAGGGATCCTAGTGAGGGTAAAGAGTTGGTCCAGTGTTCCACAGCCAGGACTGAACCTGCATTGTTCCTCCTGAACCAGAGGTTGGACCATCGATCGGACTCTCCTCTCCAGTACCCTTGAAAAGACCTTACATGGAGGCTGAGGAGAGTGATGCCCCTGTARTTGGAGCACACCCTCCGGTCTTTCTTTGTAAAGAGGGAAACCACCACCCCAGTCTGTCAATCCAGTGGCACTGCCCCAGATCWCCACACGATRTTGCAAAGGCGTGTCAACCAGTACAGCCCTACAACATCCAGAACCTTGAGAAAATCAGGGCGGATCTCATCCACCCCTGGAGCMCTGCCGCTGTGGAGCTTTTTAACTACCTCAGAGACCTCAGCTTCAGTTATGGACAGACMATCCCCAAAGTCCTCAGACTCTGCTTCCTCCATAGAAGACATGCTGCTGGGGTTGAGAAGGTACGAGAAGTATTCCTTCCACCTCCCGAYGACATCAGTGGTTGAGGTCAACGGCACCCCACCTTCATTGAGCACAGTGTTAGTGAAGTGCTGCTTCCCCCACCTCAGCTGCTGGATGGTTTGCCAGAATCTCCTCAGAGCCGATCGAGAGTCTTTTTCTAAGGCCTCATCGAACTCCTCCCACATCAGAGCTTTTGCTTCAGCAACAGCCAGGGCTGTGACCTGCTTGGCCTGCAGATACTCCTCAGCTGCCTCCGGAGTCCTACCAGCCAACAAGGCCTGATAGGACTCGTCCTTCAGCTTGACAGCCTCCCTTACCCGGGGTGTCCACCACCGAGTTCAAGGATGGCCACCATGAGAAGCACCAAYAACCTTGCAGCCACAGCTCAAGGCAGCTGCTTCAACAATTGAGGTACAGAACATGGCCCACTCAGACTAAATGTCCCCCGCCTCGGCTGGGATGTGATTGAAGTTCTCCCGGAGGTGTGAGTTAAAGATCTGTCTGACAGGTTCCTCTGCCAGGCATTTCTAGCAAACCCTCACTACACGCTTTGGCCTACCAGGTCTGACCGGCATCCCCCCCACCACCAGAGCCAACTCACCACCAGGTAGTGGTCAGTTGACAGATCAGCTCCTCTCTTCACCCGAGTGTCCAAAATATGCAGATAAGATGACATGACTACAAAGTCAATCATTGTTCTGTGACCTAGTGTGTCCTGGTGCCACGTGCACTTATGGACACCCTTATGTTGGAACATGGTGTTTGTGATGGACAAACTGTGACGAGCACAGAAGTCCAACAACAGAACACCGCTTGGGTTCAGATCAGAGWGGCCGTTCCTCCCAATCACACCTCTCCAGGTCACACTGTCATTACCCACGTGGGCACTGAAGTCCCCCAGCAGAATAAAAGAATCCCCAGCTGCAGCACCTTCCAGCACCCCGCTAAGAACTCCAAGAAGGCTAGGTTCTCTGAACAATCATTTGGTGCATAAGCACAAATGACCGTCAGAGCCCGTACCCCCACCCAAAGGCACAAGGAAGCTATCCTCTTATCTACCAGGGTAAACTCCAACACACAGGCACCAAGTCGGGGGGCCAAAAGCAGACCCACACAGAGGTCCAGGACCTCTCACCATGGGCAACTCCAGGAAAGAATAAAGTCCAGCCCCTCTCGAGGAGATCGGTTTCAGAGCCCATGCTGTGCTTTGAGGTGAGCCCAACTGTATCTAGCTGGTACCTCTCACCCTCACGCACAAGCTCARGCTCCTTCCCCACCAGAGAGGTGATGTTCCAAGTCCCAAGAGCCAGTTTTGTTAGACCAGGGTCAAAGCGCCAAGGCCCCCGCCTTTAGCTACTGTCCATGGCATCATGCACCTGACTCGTATGGCCCCTCCCGCAGGTGGGGGCCCCACAGGAAGACAAACCCATGTAGCTCATTCGGGCTGAGCCCAGCCAGGTCCCATGGGTAGAGACCCGGCCACCAGGAGCTCACCRACGAGCCTCTCCCCAAGGCCAGGCTCCAGGGTGGGGCCCCGGTAACCCACGTCCGGGCAAGGGACTCTGAGTTCCTTGATTTTTTTATCTGTCCATAAGAATCTGTTGAATTATTCTTTGTCTGGCCTGTCACCTGGRACCAATCTGCCATGGGAGACCCTCTGACAGCAGAGCTCCTAGGATCATTCAGGCACACAAACTCCTCCACCACAATAAGGTGATGGTTCAACGGAGGAGAAACAAAAGGAAAACCAAAGTGCTGAGTCAGCGATCAGATGGAACCACASATTCAGAATAAATTGGCAACTTTTCTGCTTCATTAAATGATGAAAAACGTTTTATTGATCCTTTTTATTTTCACTCATATAAATAAAAACTACAAGGTGTTTATTTTAGTTTATTGTTTTTATTTTAGACTTTATTCAGATCAATTCTGTCCATCTGCTCTCATCTCATCTGATAAACAACAACAATAACATAATAATATATTTACGAGCTGTTCTGCTGATTGCATTCAGACCTCCAACGGTTCTGGTTCTGATCCAAATCCTTCCWCACAGAAACTGACACCAGACGGGAGGAGGAACCTGAGGAGAACCCTGACCGGACCTCCTCACATCTCCAAACAGATCAGCAAGAGGGTCTGCAGGAATCTCATGACCCAGTTCTGCTCCGACCCCTGCTCAGAACCRAACCTGGACCTCTGGGTCCTGAGAAGTCTGGGACTGAAGGACCAAGACATCGTTGATACATCCAGGGAGTCCTCACCTGAAGACAGCTTCAGAGATTTGGGTTTTGGTGAGTCCTCCTCTAGATGGACACCTGGTTCCTGTTTCAGTTCTCCAGTGGACCCGGTGACGCCGTCATCGGTCTACAGCTACTGCCAAAACCCAGAACCGAAACCTGGTCTTAGACTCTCCTACGATGGGCCTGATAGTCCACCTGTGTTCCCTCAGAACTGTTTAAAAACTCCAGAGGACTTCACCAGACTGACTGGATCTTACAGGTCTGATGAAGCTCTGATCCTGAACCCAGACGCATCAGGGTCCTTCTTCTCAGACCAGACTGAGTCCTGTTCCATCAAAGGTCTGTGTCCATTTCAAACCCAGGACAGAAACCAAGAACAACAGTTGTCTCACTGGTCTTCACTGCCACAACACTGGACACCATCTGGGTTGTCCTCTTCAAGTCCAGTCCCAAACAAACCCTGGACCAGTTCTAGTGTTTTCACCCCAAAAATCCCACCAGCAGGACCTCAGCCTCATGATCCACTACAGGTACCTCACAGACAGGCAGGTCTGGCTTTTAGCATGTCCCTGTCTCCGTCCAGCRGCGTGAAGACCTTCAGCTTCCCCCAGGGACAGGCCTTCATCAGGAGGGACACCG